CTTTGCGGTTCCAAATGGAAGGTAGAAATCCAAGGCGGGACGCCTTTCAGAAGTAGAAAAAACTCAATGTTTTTACCCTTCATCATGTCATCATATTATCAAGGCACACGTCTTTCTATTACATGGTCATGACCAGAATTGATTTCCCACGGTTATTCCGCTGCAGGTCCGAGCTCGATCCGCCTGGTGATGATGCAACACAGCGAAACGACTACATCGTACTGCCAACCGCATCCTTGCCTGAGGTCCCTTTTTTGGATGCGTCGTATATGTGACGGAATTAAAAAGTGTGCGCTTGAGTTAGCTCAAACGTGGAATGAAATATGTTGCATACATTGCATTTTATTCCTCCTAAAAGTAATGGCCGGGTTCCCATGCTGAATTTTTCATCCTGCCATACAATCTGCAGGGCATTGTCACTGGTTGAACAGGATTGTAACCTACGGATCTTTCGGGAGCACACCCACCGCGCCATCATCTTGGTGGCAAGGCTTTTTCGTGAAAGTTTTCAGTGAGCTATCCGGTTCTCTCCAGCTTAGGAAACCCACACGTTTTGCTTCTAATGGAAATGTTGCTAGAACTCGTCTGGGCAATTCGATGACCAGCGGCGGCATTCAGGTTTTATAAGTGGTTCGATAGAGAAGCAGCTGGTAAGGCCCTCAAGTTTCTTGTGGAACACGTTGCGAGTTCACCGCGAATTTGTTGAATCGAGATAGCCAGCAAAAAGAAAAACAGAGGATTATGGAAAGCTTCCAAGAGGAAATAGATGAACAGTACAGGAAAAAGTGTTGTCAACAAAAACAGATATGCATGCAGAACGTATCGATAACAAGGTTAGGGAAGATAGGCGGAGCTCCACCAATGTAAAAATTAACCTTGGCAGTTGCAAAGTGTAAGTAGAGTTAGATTTTTGATCAGAGCTCACTCAGCGTGTAGCCTTACAGTCACCGTCTACGTCCAGTATTTAAAGCAGTAATTACCCAGAGCGTAAAAGTCAAAATAAGCAAAGAGTATCGAAAAAGTAAGTAACGAAGTAAACAGAGAAGGTGCAGCTGACTGGTCAACTGAATAATAGTGTACAATGAATGTGGGTAGTCTAACACAATGCTGGAACAAATGGAACGAGTTATCGACGCCAAATTGGTGTTTCAGTTCTCCTCTCCTCCCTCGCCGAACCGGTTGCAGGGATGGAGGACGTGCAAGGTGGTAGGAATACGAAACTGGACATTGAACACCTCACTGGACTGGCAATGAAAATGCGTCATTGTTGTAACGCCAAAAGAACATAGCGGCATTAGGAACATGAAAATAGCGGAAGACGCTGGCATTTCCTTGGTTCTCCCATCCCTCATAGAGACCTTGTGTTACATTAGAATACGCTTTGCTTCTTACGAGGGCTGTCGTTTATATTTTGAGATTTGGCAACACCTGTGCAGCAGTCTAGCAACTGACACCACTATCGTAAAGTTTGACTATTTTGAGGTTAAGTTGCAAAATTTGAGCGCGATTTGTACTGTTTACACTAAGTTATAAGATTTTGATTAGGCCAAGTTATGGGGTTGAATCGT